GTCCTGGAAACAAACTCTGGCGGATACTGAGGGTCCATTGTATGCATAAGTCTTAATAGGATTCCAGCCACTGTTAAAGATAGAAAGAAGAAGCCACTGACACGGGTGCACTCCAGGATTTTGGCCGAGGGATTCTGGCCCTGGTGTGGCAGGGGGCATACCTTTCCCTCCATACCAACCCTCCTTCCTTGCGTCCACAGGTGAAGATCAACATGGGGGTGACCACGCCGGAGCGCCTGGGCCCAGGCTACGTGAGTCACCTGGAGGTGGGCAAAGCGGTGGCCTCCTTGGTGGAGAAGAGAGCCGTCTCCCACACGGTGCTGAGCGCCGCCTCGCCGGCCGACCTGAAGACCCTGGCGCTGGAGGGGAAGATCTGAGGACCCACCGGCCGTCACTGTTTCCCTTCCATTGACCCTTCTCCTCCTGATCCTCTTTGGTCTCCCTCAAGCTGGGTAGGGAAAGGGGGTTTCATGCTGCCTTGGGGTAGGTTGCCGTTTCGTGGGTGGGCCAGGTGCTCTTGTCTTTCTGGGATCCCTGTGTTGGATCCTTTCACAAGGGCACTCATGGGTTTGGGCCATCCATTTGCAGTGTGGGTCAAACACAGGGACATTAGACAAGCCCAGATCCTGGTGTAACCCCACTTTCTCTTCTCTCCCTGTGCACTTACCCTTCTCATTTCGTGCTGCATTCCCCCCCCCCACGGCCTTTTAGTGGCTAGAAGAAGACGGACAAGCGGTGACCGGCTGTGTTTTAGCTAGAATTGTCCAAGGTAAATCTAGAAGAGGTTCCCATACCTTTAGTGGCCATGCAGAAGAGGGGATTTGCCCTTGGGAATGAATGGTCTGTGGGCCATTTGGCTCAGAAGGAAGGAACCCAGATGCCAACACACCTTAGCAGACTTGCATGCCCTTGCCATAACATAGTCACCATGGTCTCTTGCAGCTTTTATTAAACATTTTCATGTATTTAATAAACCTTAAATGCTATCTGGTGTGTTTTTCTATTCTTCCCGTCTGCTCTCTCCAGTTGTTCATCCCATCCCATTATCTCCAGTTGTTCATCCCATTCAACCCGTCTGTGCGTAATTTTGTACTATACAGATCTTACTAGGTTAGCCTAGGATCATATTGGCTTTTTTAGCTGCTGCATCACACTGTTAAGTGAGATAAAATTTGCTTCTGTCCAATGAACAAACCCTGAATGTGAAGCCACCTGGGGAGGTCATACGAAAAACACAGAGAAGGGCATGCAAGTCCCTCTAACAATTCCATCATCCCCCCCCCCCAACACTGCCCCTTACCTTTCAAAGAATGACAAAGTTGGTGAGCAGGCAAAAAACAAAGGTGTTTATTACAAAAGGCCCGCAGGAGTGAAGCTGGAGAAAGGGTGGAACCACAAGTGTTTTTGGAGGTTCCAGGGTCCATAGATGATCAGACAAAGACAAGGGAGCACATTGCAGGACAAGGCAGCACTGAGTGCGAACTGCAGCAGCAGATCCTAATGGACTTCTTCCAGTGCTCATCGCCTTAACAGAAGCCTCCTCCAGGCTGGGAGCGGGGTCCAGAACCCACTTGGTCCCAGGCAGGCTCCAGAGGCATCTCATACCTCACCCTTTTGAAAGCAAAGATGGCACCTCCAAATCCAGCTATCCATCGGCTCAACCGTGCCTCCAAGACAGACCTGCAAATCCAGCTCCTGACCTTCCTGGCCAATTGCTCACAGCTTGGCTTCTCCCCTGCTCTCTGGCTCCAATGGCATTTTTATTTTCAGTAAACTATATAAATTCTGAGAATTCTCTCTCTCTCTCTCACACACACACATACGCTCTCACATACACATGTGCACACACACACACACACACACTTTTCCCTTCATTTCTAGGTCCCTTCATTCACCGTTAGCCTTTGGGGTTTGCTTCAATTGCTTTTTTGCAAATGGGCTCTAAAACTTACAGTGAGGACACAAGGTTGGGGTGGGGAGTGGACACACAGTCCCTGTCTTATTTTCTTTTATCCAGTGCAGGAACATGCATGCATGTACACATGTGCACACTCAAATGCATACAGACTACAGTTCCCTCCCTTTCAACAGTTAAGCCACACATTGATGCCAGGTCCTGAGCCAAACGGAACAATTCCACCCAGCAGCAAGAGCAGCAGACCTGTGTAGTGAAGCAGCAGTGCAAGAGGAAGGCTCATGCAGAGGAGGAAAGGGGCGCACCAGGAGATCCTGGGGTCAGCTGCCCCCCAAGTCCAGGCTGGTCTCTCTGAACTGCTCCCTGGTCAAGGCTCACTAAGAACAAGGTTGCAAGGGAAGGAGTCACAGCTGCTTGTTTTTCCAGTGGATGTGATGAGGCTGACAGCAGTGGAGGGGGGGTCGTGCAAGGGGAAGAGGCTACAGATCCTACCCCTAAGTGAACTGGGGAAGGCGAAATGGATCCAGCCCTTCTGCTTCTGTACTCCCTCTGCTTCATGCTCAATGGTGCAGGAA